ATTGAATTGTTTTTTCAGTCAGTTTTCTGTTTGAAATTCCAGGCTTTCGCAAGATGTAAAAGTTACCTGGATCATGCAAAAAAATCTCCTGATTTGAAGATTGTGGCAGGTGGTAATTGTGATGACAGGTAGAATTGTATCGTTATATATCTAGTTTTTATGCTGATTTTGGTCATATCTTGCGATTTATCTATCAAACCGGTTTTGCTGGATAACTAACCAGTAATTACAAATTTTTCTGAAAGTGACTGTCTACGAATGCTACATGATTTCTGAATCAGTAATGAGAGACAAGTGTCCATTAGACTTAATATCTGAGATCAATTGTCTTGGAAAAATTATGCTTTACCCAAGGATCAAACCAGCTAACCTTGGAAAACAAGTCCTATGCTCTCCCTACTGAGCTTAGTGTGTGACATGACTGGGAATGAAAAATATAATGATTATAGTAAATATATATATGAGCCGCGTCACGACAAAACCAACATAGTGCGTTTGCAACCAGCATGGATCCAGACCAGCCTGAGCATCTGCGCAGTCTGATCAGGATCCATGCTGTTCGCTTACAAACCCTATTACAAGAAAGGAAACTGAAAGCGAACAGCATGGATCCTGATCAGACTGCGCAGATGCGCAGGCTGGTCTGGATCCATGCTGGTCGCAAACGCATAACGTTGGTTTTGTCGTGACGTGGCTCATATATTTTTTATAGGATTTAACTTATCCAGTCATGGTGCAGTTTATTTTAGTGAAATGAAAACTGGCCACCTGATTTCTTTTAATTTTACTACATTTAAAACATACCATGTGATCAAATATTAACTAGAATAAGTATATACAAAATCTAACTAAATTGTTGCATATTCCAAGAATATCATGTACCCTAGGAAATTTGATCGAGTTTGCTTTTAGACTTGAACAATGAATCCTTAAGCATCTTGATAATGAAATTCATGTGTTTTTAGCTCACCTGTCACAAAGTGACAGGGTGAGCTTTTGTGATCGCTTTTCGTCCGGCGTCCGTCGTCCGTCCGTCGTCCGTCCGTCGTCCGTCCGTCGTCCGTCGTCCGTAAACTTTTACTTTAAATGACATCTCCTCATAAACCACAAGGCCAATTTCATCCAAACTTCCAACAGGAATGTTCCTTTGGTGGTCACCTTTAAAAATTTGTTCAAAGAATTTAATTCCATGCAGAACTCTGGTTGCCATGGCAACCGAAAGAAAAAACTTTAAATATCTTCTTTTAAAAAACCATAAGAGCTAGAGCTTAGATATTTGGCATGAAACATCTTCTAGTGAGTGTCTACCAAGTTTGTTCAAATAAAAGCCCTTGGGTCAAAATTGGCCCCGCCCCGGGGGGTCATTGATTTTCCCTATATGCATATAGTGAAAACTTAAAAAAATCTTCTTTTAAAGAACTCAAAGAGCTATGGCTAAGATATTGAGCATCAAACATGTTCTAATAGGTGTCTATCAAGTTTGTTCAAAGAAAAGCCCTGGGGTCAAAATTGGCCCCGCCCCAGGGGGTCATTGATTTTCCCTATATGCATATAGTTAAAAAACTTAAAAAAATCTTCTTTTAAAGAACCAAAAAGAGTTAGAGCTAAGATATTTAGCATGAAAAACATGTTCTAATAAGTGTCTCTACCAAGTTTTGTTCAAATAAAAGCCCTGGGGTCAAAATTGACCCCGCCCGGGGGGGGTCATTGATTTTTCCCTATATATGCATATAGTAAAAAAACTTAAAAATCTTCTTTTAAAGAACTCAAAGAGCTATGGTTAAGATATTTAGCATCAAACATGTTTTCTAATAGGTGTCTACCAAGTTTGTTCAAATAAAAGCCCTGGGGTCAAAATTGGCCCCGCCCCGGGGGTCATTGATTTTCCTTATATGTGTATAGCAAAAACTTAAAAAATCTTTTTTGAAAAAAACCCAAATAGCTAGAGTTAAGATATTAAGCATGAAACATCTTTTAGTGAGTGTCTACAAAGTTTGTTCAAATAAAAGACCTGGGGTCAAAATTGGCCCTGCCCCGGGGTCATTGATTTTCCTTATATGTGTATAGCAAAAACTTAAAATCTTCTTTTGAAAAAACCCAAATAGCTAGAGTTTAGATATTAAGCATGAAACATATTCCTAGTAAGTGTCTACAAAGTTTGTTCAAATAAAAACCCAGGGGTCATAACTGGCCCGGCCCCAGGCGTGTCATTGTTTTTAACTATATGTGTATAGTAAAAACTTTAAAAAAATCTTCTTTTAAATAGCCCAATGAGCTAGAGCTTAGATGTTTAGCATGAAACATTTTCTTATGGGTGTCTACCAAGTTTGTGCAAATAAAAGCCCTGGGGGTTGGGGCGGCCTATATACAGGTGAGCGACCTCAGGGCCATCATGGCCCTCTTGTTTTTTTCAGTAAAGGATATTTTATAGAACCAACAATTGTTGAGTCACACAATCCTAAAGAGAAGATCTTGAAGGAGGTAAAAAATTTTTTATCACTTATATTGTTACTGAGGTACCAGAATTTCAAGCTTGGCAAATCATTTAAAGATATACTATGCTCATCTGTGAGTAAAATATTTTAATCGCTGAAACTTATCAAAATCTATGGAATTCTTACTGAATATGTCAAATTTGAATAAAAGAATGAATAAAGTATGTATGGGAAACTGTTTTACTATTTACAGGTCAAGTAAGTTAGTCTTATCTTAAAAAACTGTGAGTTTTTTTTAAAGACACTATATATTCATATTGTGTCAACCTGTAGTGTATAGAGTTTAAAACATACTATCTACTTCATATGAAGTCAAAAAATGTTTATTTTATACATACAAAGAGACTAGGTAGCAATTACCAATATTTTTAAATATCAAATTTGAGTATAGTATATAATTAGCTGAAATGAAGCAATTCAATTTTTCGATGTCTGTTATTTGTTTGACTATAAGAAATGTAGTGGTCCTATCATACTTGTTAACAGTGTTAATTAATTTAATTACCTACTTTTATTGACAGGAAATATTCGGTCCCATTGTTACGGTGTATGTGTACCCAGATCAGAAGTATCGTGAAACAGCTGAACTTGCCGCAGAAACTTCACCATACGCTTTAACGGGAGCTATATACGCAGATGACCCGTAAGTGTTGACGTTTATATAAATTAAGTCAACAATAATGAAAGTAATTGCTGGATATAGTTCATGTATTTACTTTCAGTAAAATACAAACCATGCATGGTGGGCATGGTATATTTCCCTTACATAGTGGTTTTTAGTAATTGTCAAAAACTATTTCTCATTCATGTACACATTGCTTCTTGTGTCTATCTGAAAGCAAGGTGAAATGGAAGGTAATTTTTCACAAGAACTTAACACTTAACTAAGATCTTTAAGTGGTGTAATGTTAGAAGTGGGAACATTTAAATTGTCAAATTTTCAATCATGTTGTTTTCAAGATCCTGTAGTCATATGATAGGGACAAATTTAACACTAATGTGTCTGTTATTAAAATCACATAAATTATTTGAGAAAACGAGTTAAATATTATGAAACAAATTATTTCAACTGCTATATATAACAGATATAGGTATAAAAAACGTAAGTGGCGAGTCATTAGGTAACTATGCTTATAAACAATCTTGATTACTTAGGTACAAATTATTCTTTAATTGTGTCACAAGACAATTTCGTGTTATTAAGTTTTATTGATATTTTTGTTTGCCTTTTTACCAAGAATATACACCTACTTTCAGTTTCATATTTTTACAATAATATTTCAGTAACGCTATAGAAGAATTATCAGATATATTCCTTGACTCTGCTGGCAATTTCTACATCAATGACAAATCCACCGGTTCTGTTGTCGGCCAACAACCATTTGGCGGTACCCGGCTTTCAGGTATAATCTAGAGATAATTTAGGAACTTCTTCAGTGATCATATTAATTAAATTGACATGCAGTTAAATAGGTAATGTTTTATAGAATGATTAAACTCTACAGACCTTCTGTAAGCTAGCTGGATAGTACCTCACATGAAATAATCCAAACAAGGTGGAATTCTAACCTACAGTGATGAAGGGCAAGAAGTTCCAGTCAGTGACCATAACTACTTGGCCATGGATGCCCGTAAAAGCTATAAAAGAAACCATATATTGACAGTATTTTGTTCTATTACAAAACTGGAAAAGATTATTTCATAAGTGAATCAGGAAGTTTAGTATAGAATGGCTTAATAGTAAGTAAGTATTAGTCAGTGGGCGCATGGGTGAGTGAGTGAAAAGTAAGTAAGTAAAGAAAGGCAAAACAGTTGGGCAAGACCAGTCTTCCCATGTGTGCCTAAGCAATGTATAAAACAATTCATATAATACAAATAGTAATACATCGAGAAGAGATCAAATTCTGAATATCAAATATGAGTTAATAATATGATTGTATACAATTTATAGAGAATAATTTATATGAATGAAGTTATGTATATGTTTGAATAAATGTCAAATAACTATATGATATAACAACTGATATTTCAGGAACAAATGATAAAGCAGGAGGACCCTACTACTTGTTGAAGTTTGTATCACCACAGTCAATAAAAACACGTAATGTACCGAAAACTACGTGGAAATACCCCAGTATGGAAGATTCTCCTTCTGATTTGTAAGTCAAACAAAGAAAACTTTATATATATTCTTTTTACTATGTTTTTTTTTAGCTCGACTATTCAATTAGAATAAGTAGAGCTATTGCAGTCACCCGAGCGTCGGCGTCGGCGTAACCACTTATGTTAAAGTTTTTGTAATAGTTAAAATATTTTCAAAGTCCATAGACATATGGCTTTGAAACTTTGCACACTTGTTCACCATCATGACCCCAACCTGTAGACAGGAGGAGGTAACTCTATCAAGCATTTTGACAGAATTATGCCCCTTTTTCGACTTAGAATTTACGTTAAAGTTTTTGTAATAGTTCAAATATTTTCAAAGTCCATTGACATATGGCTTTGAAACTTTGCACACTTGTTCACCATCATGACCCCAACTTGTAGACAGGAGGAGGTAACTCTATCAAGCATTTTGACAGAATTATGCCCCTTTTTTCGACTTAGAATTTACGTTAAAGTTTTTGTAATAGTTCAAATATTTTCAAAGTCCATTGACATATGGCTTTGAAACTTTGCACACTTGTTCAACATCATGACCCCAACCTGTAAACAGGAGGAGGTAACTCTATCAAGCATTTTGACAGAATTATGCCCCTTTTTCGACTTAGAATTTACGTTAAAGTTTTTGTAATAGTTCAAATATTTTCAAAGTCCATTGACATATGGCTTTGAAACTTGACACACTTGTTCACCATCATGACCCCAACCTGGAAACAGGAGGAGGTAACTCTATCAAGCATTTTGACAGAATTATGCCCCTTTTTCGACTTAGAATTTACGTTAAAGTTTTTGTAATAGTTCAAATATTTTCAAAGTCCATTGACATATGGCTTTGAAACTTTGCACACTTGTTCAACATCATGACCCCAACCTGTTAACAGGAGGAGGTAACTCTATCAAGCATTTTTTTTACTATCAAGCACTAAGAATAGTCGAGCGTTGCTGTCCTACCGACAGCTCTTGTTGGTGCTTGTAGAAATGCTTTGGTGCAGCATGTAGTTTTCAGTCAGTCTTTTACTTCCATCACAGGTACTAACTGTTTCAAGAGAACACCATCATTGTCTGCTAACTAAGCTAACTAGGATTCCAGGGATCGCTGGTTTGATCCTTTGGCATCTGAATATTTCTTTGTTATTATTGATCTGAGGCATTCAGTTAAAATGGGCCTGTTGCTGTCTCACTACTGGGAATTTAAGGAAAAAAAAAAAAAAAAATAGGGGAAAAATAAAAGTTTGGGGTTTTTTTTGCTTTCCCAAAAACCCCAATTTTTTTGGGTTGGGGGAAGGGGGGAAATTGGGTTTTTAATTACCCGGTTGTTAGTTATCCAGGAAAGCTAATAAGGTGGGCAGACTGACGTTGTAAGACAAAAAAATTCTTGAAATCGGCCAAAATACCATATAATTAAACAAACATTTTGTACATTTGGTGACTGCTGTTTTAGATAATTGATGTGAACTTTATAATGGTCATTGACCTCTATGCTTAAGCAGAGTTAGGGTCAGTTGAATTTAAGTGTTGAATTAAAGTGTATTATCAGTGGGCAAAGTGGTAAAGGTTGTTTACTTTAAACCATGTAGCCTTTACAGCTGTGGGTTCGGATCCTGACAGGGACTTTAGATTCTTTCAGGTGAGAAAGCTATCCAGCTGGCTTACAGAATGTTGGTTGTTCTACTCAGGTGCCCATTTCTGCCTAAAATAATACAAGGAAGTGCATCATAGGTCTTTATCAGTAAAGCTTTGAAGTTGCCATAATTATGACCTCTACTTTGATGGTGCGACACAAAACCCAACCAGAAAATGAATTGTCTGGTATGTCCTGAGACAAAGTGTTTAATACTAGCCTTAAGTCTTTTACACTTAATAGTGTATTTTTGACACTTAAAGTGTAACAAATTCAAATAAACAGCTAATTTTTTATCTTCGTGTTTCAGTAAAGTTGACAAACAAGCATTCCCACATGTGAAGTAAGATGCCCAACTAAACAACAGCAGAAGACACTCTAAAAACTTAACAGATGCTACGGAATTGAACAAACTAAAGTGATGTTACATAATCATATATAAATACTCATTTATTTTGACAGTCTTGACAGAAGAACTTGTTTACGGTATTGGTTTGTTTTTGAGGAAATAATTTGTTTGTTTTACAATTATTTGTTTTTTTTTTTATTTTGAACAGAGAATTTCTTTACAGTATTTCTTTTGATCAAAGAATTAGTTTAGAATATTTGTTTGTTTTTAATGATGAATGTTTTTACTCTTTTTCTTTTGATGAACCATTGGTCTATTTACAGTATATTTGTTGTTTTAAAACAAAATGTTGTGTACAAAAATTGTTTGTTTTGATTACAATATATCTGTTATTTAAGCAGTAAGACTTATATTGTTAAAGATTTTTTTTAGCTCCGTGAATGTGTACATTTTATACAAGTTATATAAAGTTATATCACATTACACGTGTATTCATTTGGTAAATTAATATGATAATGTCCCCTTAGTGCAGATAACTCTTACTAAATTAGTAGTAGGAGTTATCCTGTTACTGCACTTAGGTGACCTTATCAAGTTGTAAGAGATTTTATTGGAAATTTACTAATGGAAATATTATTTTCTAAAGCTACTGATTGTCATCGGCTGTTATGGAATCTCAGAATAGCACTATGTATCAAAGTTAACTACGTGTAATAATAAGATACTCGATACTTTACATTATGCTTTTATTATTAACATTATTTTTTTGGTTGTTTTTTTGTATGGAATATTGTTTTGCATCATAGTGCTAAAATGAACTAAAATAGATCATGATGTTAAAATGGCAGAAGATTTTCATTTTTGAGTGTATTGTCATATAATGTTGGAAAGTACAGAGTCCAGTAAATGCCTTAGGAATATGTATACATGTATATAATATAAAACCATTTGTTGGGTTAAAAAAAAGATATTTATATACTTTGCATAATAATATTACAAAACTCTTTACATTAAAATATTTTTTTCTATAATAGTAAAAATAATTTTTCATTGGCTACCTTTAAGAATAGCAAAGCATCATCCCAACCTTGCACATTTTATGTAGTTTAAAAATTGGACACAGCTAGATACTGTACACTGATAATTAATGTCTTTCATCACTCTGATTGAACAAATACAGTAAAGACTTGGAAAACTGTAACCTTTTGAAAACTGGACCCTCTGAAGACGGAAACCTCTGAAAAACTGAAACCTCTGAAAACCTCTGAAAGCCAAGGTACAAATGTGTTTTGTTACATAAGGAGTTATAAGAAAGAAATGAAATTTCTTGCAATGTAAACATGATTGATTTTTGGCTAAGCCATTGATTGGATGGTCATTATTTAGTTTGAAGTGTCTTTTACCTGTTAAATCTTTGAATACCTATGGTGTGGTTTTATTTTGAAGTCTTAGTATATTAAAATTTGCCTAAAAGCCTTTGTTTTGACATTTAGCTTTTTGATTATTTGTGGGTTTATTTTAACTAATACTCATTTAAGGAATATGTTTTGTGAGGTGATAAGCATCATATATTTTTTGTTGATTTTGAACAACATTATTTTTGAATCTCATTTTATTGCTTGATTATTATTTGTGATTTATTTCATTTTTGATGGGCCATTAACACTTGTGTTTTGTACAAATAAATGAAATGCTGTGGTAGAATGCTTCATACCTGATTGTTGTGTGATACTGTGTTGTTGTTTGTTTGTTGTTTTATTTTTCGTTTTTTTAAATGCAGAATGAAACTACAAAATTATTCACAAAGACCATAAATGGGTTACCGTAATTGAATATTGAAAATAACATTGCAGACAGGAACCTATGGAAAGTGCAAATAAATACATGTACAACTAGTAGAGTTTTATAATATATGTAAGTAAAATATACATGTAATTATTTTCTTTGTTATAATCCATTATTGTTAAAAGGTTTTCTCTCTCTGAGCTGATGTGCAGTCATCTGACATGTTCATTAGGCAAGGGCAGTAACTATGTCTATATTTTTCTGGAGGGCATTCTACTTTTAGTTATGGGTGGTTGATTGTGATATACATGTATATTTTGTTATATTTTTAGCATAATATTTGAACAGAATTCCACTGCATATTGATGGATTTTGAGTTTTTGGGTGTAACCCATAGTAATATCTTTTTATGGGTTCTTTCATAACTACCCATTTGGACACTTTATGTATCACTTCATATTGATATTCTGTCTATTAATTAACATTAACAAGTGTAGAAACAAGACTAAACAAGTCGTATTACTCATTTGATAAAATATATTGTTTGAACATGTACATACTTTGTACATACATAGCCATTTTAACACCCAATATGGAATGTTGGATTTTGGAACTCATTTTATGTTCAATTTTATAAATACTCTCAAAGATTTTTTTTCTTTTTCCATTATCACTTTATTGCCTCCAAAATACATGTAGTAAAAAACACAACTCCAAAACTTTAGAAAACTATAATATTGAATGATTTATAAAATGACTATGACTTAACTGCATGTTTCATGCAAAATTTATCAACATATATATTATACCACTAGAATGTTGCTTATGAAACATCATTGTTCTATTTCTACACTGAAAAAAATATTTCTATCAATATCTGATTATTTTGGACAATCTTTGGAATCAGTTGTTAAATTTTCTGTAAAAGAAAGATAAATCTGGTGGCCTGGCTAATATGATTTGTCATTTATTCGAATAACAAAAGATTTAGGTCAAAAATTCTTATTGTAATGCACTAATCTGATAATTTGGATCAGCCACTGTTAGGGTCATTTAAAGATCTATCCATTTTAAAGTAAATCTCACATGTTTATCGATATTTTAAGGGTGATGGATTTAATATAAGTATGCACATTTTTCGTTTTCTTTTTGTATTTGAATAATGTGTGTAATATTGTCTATGAAATCTAATAAAAATATACCAAGAATATATAAGTATTAGTATTTTGTTCTTGTTTTATTTCCTTGCCAGATTTAGAAAATTATCCCTTAAAACAACATCTTAAACAATGTTAAAGGAACTCCACTGAGGTCCAAAACCCTAAAAACACATATTTTGTATCATTCCTAGCTTGATATTGGTCTAGACCTACATCAAATGGTATATAAAATAAATCTTAAACAATTACTTCCAGTCCCATCATGTCAACAGTGGTGTCCCTTTAACCAATTTGGTGGATGTTAATCAAAATTCACACGAATGATATTATAATGTGATCATCAAGAAAAGTTATATAATTGGTTTCAGTGTTATGCATTTCTAAGTCACTAGAACCGATAGCAGATTTCTTTTAAATCTCCGAAACTATATATGTATACAATGCCAAGTGCTAATTAAGATATTACATTTTAGTCCTCTACAAAAGTTACATATATCATGACCCCAGTCTTGGGACATTCTTCGTTTGAATAGACCTGGGATAGATTAGAGCTAGTAATACGTAGGATCATGCGTATAAGCGTATGGGAAGCTGCATTCCGTATAACTAATCAAATTATTTTTGTCTTTTCTATAAAAAAGTGTTTGTTTTGTCGTTGGTTTAGATAAGATATAACAAGGAAAAAGAAAACTTTGCTTATCTTAAAATCATTTTTCTTAATTGATTATTTTTATTTACATAGTGGCATTTACTTATTTATTCTTATTCTAAATAAATTAATTATGTCAGCTCTAAATGTACAAGACGACAAAACGAACTTAGTGCTTTTGCGACCAGCATGGATCCAGACCAGCCTGCGCATCCGCCAACTCTATTACAAGTAGAGAAACTGATAGCGAACAGCATGGATCCTGATCAGACGGCGCGGATGCGCAGGCTGGTCTGGATCCATGCTGGTCGCAAACGCACTATGTTCGTTTTGTCGTGACGCGGCTCAAATGTAGTGTCAGAAGATTCGTAATAGTAAGATATTAAACAGAAAATAAGAACAAGACCCTAACATGAGTCTGGGGCTTTAAAAGTCATGTGCATAATATTGCTGGTCCTTCATCAATGTGGGTTCGACGGGTACGTGGGTTCGATGGGTACTTTCAAGGAAGACCAGTGATTATTCTCAGATGAACGATCATACCTGGAATAATGCACACGATGAAACACCTAGTATCTTCCTTCATTATACGTTTACAGTGTTGTTGCTATATCATTTTAATCTTTATAATGTTGAGTTCCGCTTAAGCTGGTGCCAGCTAGGTAGTGTTTTGTCACACTAGCCTATGACCAAGCTAAATCAAATAGAGCTGGTAACATTTTCAATATTCCCGTATCGGCGTTCCTTACTTAATGTTCCCATTTGTCTACTTCGTAAGCGTCTTATAAAGCACATTGTAGGTCAAAATAATTAAGGGGACGACAATCTTGATGACCGTTCTTTTGACTGTATTTTATCAAAGAGCATTTTCAGGGCTAAAAGAAAATAAACAATCGTGGATATAATACATCGGGTTAGCATTTGTTAACTAGTGACTTTCTAATAAACTTCAATATGAAAAAATGGCCTGTAAATTGAAGGTAATTTACAGGTTTCGAAATTCGGACCGCATTTAATTGTCCATGCTTGAACTTACTCACAAAATATGCAAAATCCTGCACATTGTCAATGGCATCTAGCGAGAGATTTTTATTTTTATTAAGATAGTAACAAAAATTAAGTCTCTGCCATCCGTGATGCGGTATTCTCAGCAGCAATGAAAGCAGACTTTGTTTAAACAATTTATGTTTTGCCACGGAAGATCCAAAAACGTTTCAACTTTACCCTTTTAAGCAGACGAATACATTATTGAAGATGCGCGCGTTACTCTACTTTCGTTTTCGCCCAATATACATGTAATTTTACATCCGTGTGAATATAACATGGCTTATTATATGTTAAGCGACGTTCATGAATGAAAATAAAGTTGTAAATGGATTGTTTTAGTTAAACTTATTTAGTCATGTTATAAAATAAATATTGGCATTCGTTTCCATTTGATGATCTTTTATTAACGAGTTTAGAGAAATGTTATTAACGAGCATCTGGCTTAGCTACTGTCAAACCCTACTTTGCTTATGGAATATGAAAATATTTGATTGAATAAATTATATCTGTCATATTTTGCGGATCAGATCGGAATATCCGTCCTGAGGGGACCCGCCCATTTGGCAGTAACGAGTCTTATCGACTTACCGCCCATTGATGGGTTCCCGAGTGACGGATTTTCCGATCCGAACTACAAACATATATGTATGTCAGATATTTTCCTTCATATTCTACCATATTCCATTATATTTCTAAATAATTTACCTTAATAAAACAATTTTCCGTGGACATTACTGTCATTAAACTTGTAACTTTTTTCTTACAACATATCGTATGCACTTACAACTTCATTCATAATGGCGAAATTACGTCATACTAAGCGTGCCATTTAATAGCACGTACGTGACTCATCTGGCTCCATCCCAGCCAGAAGAAATTTTCGTCATGGATAAAACTAACGGAAACACCAGTCTGATATGTAAGAATAGTCTGTTTGAGTTACTAAATATCGGCTAAAGATACTCATTAGTAATCAGAACCCTTTTTTTGTGTGTTTGTTTTTTTCCATTACCCCCCCCCCCCGCGCTCATTCCGAGAGGATTTAAACAAATGGCTAACAATTGGAACTCTGATCATTCTATGTTCAAATCTCTTAAAGAAGTTTAAGAAAATTCATGGGTGATGAAATTAATTTTATCAAAACGCATATTAATTTGGTTTGATTTAAAAGGATGTTTGGTTATAAAAGCCAGAAAGACCGCGCTTTAGTTTTTCATTTCTGTTGATTATGTTTACTTTTGATGTATGTTAACGTAGCCACACTTGTTTACTTATATATTTTCAGTGTTTTAATTTCTTATGGTACAGATACAGTAGTCACTAATTAATTCTTAAATATTGAACTAAGCCACTGGTTTGCATGGTTTGTCGCATCCGGCACTCTCCGTGCTTTGATTACTAATCGAATAAATGAAGTAAACAGTCTTCTAACGTCACTAATTAAACCTTAAAATATTGAACTTATAAGGGAAGAAACGTCTAATTTTCCAATTTAATGTTACTACTTAATGTACTTTGATACAGATATTTCCATGTAATACACCATTTACAAAGGAAGTTATTACCTATAATTTAATACCAGTGCCATATATATATAGACTACAAATTCGTTATTTATGGATTTTCCTTCGGAAAGAAATTGTCGTAATAATCGAAATACCCATGGTACAGTTAGTTGAAAACGAAACTTGGAAATTTTACACAGCGGAAGTTTTCAATTAGTTTATCTTGTACATATCGATAACACTGTTTTAAATAAATGAAATAACAATTATTTTATGAAAAAATAATATAATTTGCATTTAAATTTTTAAGGATTAAATAATGAAAATACATGAAGATTCCGAATAAACTGTGTGTGTATAAATAGAATACAAGTAAGATTTGGATTTCCCGTTACACATTTATTCAGCTGGTTGCGAAGTAGACACTGTGCAGCAAATATGGCCGAAGGAGGTAACGCTAACGCGCCTGAAACTTTCCTAAGTGTTGAAACAGATGCAGCGCCGAGTGTTGCTTATGTGAACTTCGATAATCTGGATATAGGCAGTGAATGTGAAATAAAAACTGAATCGAAATTACCAGGGAGTAAACTCGAAGAACATGACGATGGTAGTAAACAAGAAAATTGTGAGACCAAATTTATAACTGCCGCAAGTCCAGATTGTGATACAAAGCCTGATGCAGACGGGAATATTGAAACAGGCTTGGGAAGTTTGAACCTTGTAGAGAAAGTTGAACCGGAAGTTGATGTTACAGAACATGAATTCATAGATGATTTAGATATTGGGGATAATGATGGTGATACTTTACTACATACATCTATAATAACTCTCGGGGCAGATTTAGCCAGTGTGTTGATTTATTTAATGGTAGAGTCCGGGATTTCCTTAGACATAGGAAACAATCTACAGCAGACACCTCTCCACCTTGCAGTACTGACGAGACAAGAGCAAGTTTTGATAGTTCTTCTCTCAGGAGGGGCATCGGTTTATCAAAGAGATCATTTGCTGAGGACGCCCATTATGATAGCATGCGAGAATCAAAGTATGAAGATGTTAGATTTACTGATAAGCGGGGGTAATTTTAGTCCTGATTCAGAGGCCACATCAAGGTTGCTTAACCCAAGTACCCATCCCCTTGATTTACCAAATGCCGACGGGGAACGCTGTCTTCATATAGCCGTCAAGCACAACAACAAAGAAATGGCGAGAAAACTGCTCGACAACGGAGCCAACCCTAATCTCCCGGACAGGAAAAGTGGAAGAACACCATTGCACGAAGCGGCTAACCTTGATCATACAGAGATGGTTAAATATTTGATTTCCCGGGACGAAGTTGATATAAATGAGACCACTTACAATGACGAGACTGCTCTTGAAATAGCACACATGCGCGGGAGAACAGAAATCGTTACCTTACTGAAACATCACAGTTTTCCAATTACGAAGCGGAAGTCAAAAACGGATATACCCACGGGATAGGAAACACAATAAGGACATCAGTGTAAATATCATGTTTGATTTAGAAGACCATTAGGATTTATTAAATGGCAGGGACACCACATTACCCGCTCATAATGTACTTGTGATAAAAGTCCTGCATGCAAATAAGATCTTTGAATATATAGTGCCACGGACAGACCATACAGCATATGAACTGATGTATCAGAAAAATGACAGAGTTCTTGCGGCAAATTCACATACACAGTCTGTAAATGCATGTATATAGTTAAATGCTGATTTTACAATCGAGAAAACAACATCAGTGCCAGGGAACATAAATTTATCCAATTATTCTGTCCTCAGATAGTATAACATCATATCGCATTGTATCTTTTTGTTACCGATTTCAGATTTTTGTTCAGATTATCCGTGGATATAATTTTGTCTTTAACAACTTTTATCATGTGCTAAGTTTAACAGACTGAAATAGTCTCCTCCTTGTAGGGAATGATAGTAATATGTAAAGACCTTGTGAAATTTAGTGTAAGAAAATCGTGTTTTCGAATGACAGTATTCCTCATTTGTTGTTGTTGTGTTTTTTTTGTGTTGTTTTTAAATAAATAAATAAATAAAACTTGACAACGACAGCTTATTTACGGTTGTCATTTAAACAAAATCGATAAATACCGTGTTTTATACAATCATGTATTTATATATAAGTCACACATTTTTACACTTCCTTCTAAATTGAAACTATGTAAAACATATGATAACTGATTTAAACACGGTGATCTATTTTTTTGTTTACAGTATTTTATTTACCTGTTGAAATGCCAAAGTAGGTACACATATTTTTACTGATATAAAGATATATATTTTTTAATTTAATGGACTATACAGTGCACTACTACTTTTTTTCTTTTCAAAAAACAATGCCTATACTGTGTTTGAATCTACTTTATGTTATTCAGGACAAAGTGGGTCTTGAAATTGCAAAGTGGTTTATCTTTTGTTCATGAGTTTTTTAACCGATCTGACACATATCACATTTTTGTTTTGTTTTGTATTTAGTGTAAATATTACTTAATCAATTTCGACTGTAGAAAAAACATAAAGCTTATTCGAATAACTCTGAACTAATCAGAATCTGCCTGCTGGAAATGACCGGCTTTTGGTACATTTGTATTAGGAAACATATGGCGCCAAGTAGGGCTCGAACCCATTGTACCTGGGCCGAGATTCAGGCAGGCAGACAACTTAGCTACCCATTTTTTTTGTATTTGTTAGAATGTATTATAGTAACGGAATTAAGAACATGACGCGGTCTATTGATAACGTAGATTCCACCTGATTTATTAATTACTTGAGTGTTGAAACAGCCACATACATGTATATTTTTGTTTGTTATGATTATATTTCATGTATTTGATAGGTTTCTAAAAACATCATTGAACAAATTCAGGTAGAGCGTGGATTCCAAGTTGTGTCCCCCAACACCTTTTACATATTTCTTTCATATATTTCACATATTTGCTTAGTATAATTTTGGAAGTTCTACATGTTTAATCATGACAAGCAGATCTCGGTGTTGAGGGGGTGGATGCGAAGATGGGAGGGGACGGGGCACCATAGAGCTTAAACTACGATTACTTGGTTAAATGTGACTACGTAGAAAGCTTTTTGCTGTCTTTTGAGTACTTAATCTGTGCTATATTATGATTTGTTATGATAATGTTAATAAATAATTGCTTTTGATAAAACCAAATATGATTGTGTAAACGGTAAATGTTTATCGTTTAAACAGACAGTTTACAATTATGTAAAACAATCCAAGTTAAATACAGTATATTGGATAGTTTCCAAATTTATTATCTTAAATCTGTTGTTAAAAAGGAATAGAAAATAAAAAGTCGAAACTGTTTTTCAGTGTCTGACTAAATTGTTTTTATATTTGCTTTGCCTGAACGCCTTTGAAGTTTTATTTCTGTCATCACAAGAAGGGAAAAGGGTAAAGAAAAGTCCAACAAAAAGTGGATTGAAAATGTCTGGCACAAATGTGCCAGACGACTTTATTTTAGAAAAAGGTAAATAAACTAAGTTAATCAAAATGCTAATCTTTATGTTTTCCAACCGTCATTATATCTGTTTGTCAACGAATAATCGCATGCCTGCAGAAACCGGAAATGATTGGCCGTCAATTGCATACTGGGTAGCCAAATTTTTGGTATTTTAATATTAAACTCTTGTAACTTTGAATGGAATGTTCCAAAGGTCAAAGCTGGACAGCTGGTAAAAGGTTAATCGATAAGGACGATGAGCAAATAAATATTGTAAAGAAAACATGTATCATTTAAAATACAAATTGCTCTTCCTTATTTAAGTCAAATATTTAAATATAAAATCGATTGCGTACTCGTTTATACCATTATTATTTGGAAAGCATCCAAATTTTCAATTCATTGAAAAGTTATTTTTGAGGCAAATTGTCTCCTGACCAAACTAACATTTTATGACATATTTCATTTTTTCATAACATTTTTGTATTTTTTTGTTTGAAATGACTTTTTCAAGTTTATAATTAAATAATTTAAGAATATATTTATTTAAGTTGTGAGATTAAAATAAACAGCGTTGTACGCGTTGACTTTATCTTTAGAGATTTTGTATATAGTATGTAAAGGTTTATATTATAGTAAACTAAACCATAGATACATGTATGCATATGTAATTGTACTGATTAATGAACTTAATGAACGGTAGACTATACTCGTATTTGCAAACGATAAAAACAATTGTCTAATGTCTATTTAGATCTACTTTATGCTATTTGAATTTTATTGAGTAATGATTAAACAATTACGATTTTACCTAAGGTAAACATGTACAGGCAAACGTATTGGACGTTCATGTAAAAGATTAGAAATTATTTTAATTTACTACTTTATATTAAAGAAAATAAATATATCTCAGTTGATACTTTATAATATTTATTGCCTAGGAAAGAGGTTTTACTAATCTGTTGTAAAATTGTTAATCTTTCATTTTGTTGAAATTCATTATGATGAAATAATACTTGAAATGGTTTAGTTATCAATTACTTCTTTTTCATTTACATCCATTTATTTATTATGTTTTAAGTTATAAAAATAAATTGCAATGCATTCATTATCAAAATTATATTTTGATTTTTGGAATGTGTATTGTAGAGAATATATTTTTGCTCAATTTTAAGAAAAAACTCTATCATGTTCAAACCCATTGTTGTATTTTAAGTCAAACAGGCATT